TACGGGTACAGGTACGGGTATACTCGATACCCGACGGGGACAGGGATGAGGATGAAAATCACATACCCGACGGGTACGGGTACGGGGACGAGAATGAGTTTAACTCGCGGGTACGAAGACGGGTATCATGAAACCCGTACCCGACCCGCCCCGTTGCCATCTCTAATTTCGAGTGATACTCGAATTGATCCTCTTAAGGTCTTATTAACAAGTATTTTAAATAAAAAAACATAATTGAAATTGAATATTTCAATAAAAATAGTCTATCATGTTTTTTACAAAAATATTTATTAATAAAATCGATGTTTCATACTAATAATATAATTATAAAAAAAAATAAAAATTAAGCGGTGTTATCTCGTACTAAGCATATTGCGTACACACAGAATTGGACAATTGATTCTGATTGTAAGAAGGTTGCATCCAATGCTCTTTCAAGTTCAGCATATTGCAACTGACGATCAACTTGTCTACATTCTTTGCTGACATTTAAGTCAAGATCGAAATCGGTCTATTTACGTGTTTGGAAAATTGTTGAGAAAAGAGGAATTACATTTGGTCGTAAAAATTATTATAACCACTAACTTCTGAAAATCATATCCGTAGAAAATCACATTCAAAATAAACAACCTATATATGATTACATGTGAAATTAAACAAATTATTGTACAGCACTTATAACGGAAAATTAATATCATTAATGAGTTAGTTGGACAACTATGTCTGCATTATGTATAGTATATAAGTCAAACTTGTACAATTTGATCTATGACATTGCATTCAATCTAATTGCTATGGTGATTACACGTAACAAGTTTCGAAAAATTAGAAGGTGCAACCGCAACAAATGTAGAAAAAAGAGAGCATGAAGACCAATATAATGGTCTCAAACGCGGACACGATCTTAAAAATCACGTAGTCCATGAAGAAAATTGGGCAATAAAGCTTCTTCCACTTGAATGCAGACCTCAAAAGCTTCATTGTTCTCCATGATTCTTTTCTCAGCCTCTTGAAGAAACACCATCTTTTCATCATACCCCCTAAGTCCCTGCACCCTCTCTATGATCAATGAGAGTTCTCTTTGTTGTTCCTGGTGCCTCACATATAAATAAGTTCAGTTATTAAGAAAAGTCAGTAATCAAAGACAAAGAATAAGTATCTTCTTACCATGTGGTTGGCTTTTAGGTCCAATAGCATTCAAATTCAGTGGACTATATAGTATTGGCAATAGATGTCTAGCAACCTTTTTCTTTTCCAGAACCATAAGTAGAGTCTTTAACTTTCCGGTTTAACTATTTTTTGTGCTAAAAAAGTTCTCCTTCTAAGATTTAGTAGTGAGGTTGGAGTAGTACACAAAAGATTTTAAATTTTAAATTTGTTGTCATTGTTATATTTTTTTATTAATAATTTTATATAATGTTTAAAACTTTTTATTTCTCCGACAAATATGTGGATCAATTATCTTTAATTTAACCATTAATCTTAATTTTGAGTCTTGAGTATACATGTATGTTAAATATTTAAAATGAGAGATTTATCATTCATATTAGTCTTTTCTAACTCAAACAACATCATCTTTTGTGGAAGCTATATGTGATATAAACAAAAATAAATACTTTTTTTTTATTTCTTTTTAAAGATGTATCTATCCCAATTTTTTGTTTAAAATTAGGAACACGACGCAAACACAAATACCAAGACACAACTAATGTCCAAAATATAAGATGTATGATATCACACATAGACACTATCTAATTTTTATGCAAGAATGACTCTTAAAAGATGAATCATATCTCTTAAAAATTATTACTAATAATTCTTATGAATATGAGTTTTTTAAAAGATTAAAATAAAATATTAAGGGTCTTGTAATATTTATAAATAAGTTAATTTTTAAATTTTTTATATAATAAAAATATTGGATAAATGTTTATATTAGACAAAGAATTAATTTACGTTTTTGATATCAATCTAAGTGATATACAAAAGGATTTGAAATTGTATTAGAGAGATGTCTAAAAAGAATGATAATTTTTAAGTGTAACATTGTCAAGAGGTGTTAGATGTGTGTGAAGATGTATTTGAAGTGTGTCAAACTCAAAGACAGAACATTTTGTAGATGTCTACGTGCTGGATAGTTAATAATCAATAAGCTTTTGTTCTTGAAAAAGCTAGATCATGTTAACTGATATGGGCAGCAAGAATTTCATGTATGGAATCTACCGAAAGCTCAAACAAAACTTTAACTATCGGTTTAGTTATTCTATTCATATTGCAAAATGTCTAGGGAGGCCAGTTTGATTACCTAATACAAGTACAATTCTTCGTAATAAAGAGTATTGACTATTGACACTTTCCATATTCTTTTAATTAGTCTCTTCATCTCATGACAAAATGTCTTCTAAGTAAATAGATAAAAAATAATAATTTTACAAAATAAATTTTAATATTAATATTTTTATAATAAATGAAACAGTACAACATCAACATTTAAAAAATATCATAAGGAATACAAATAAAAATAATAATTAGTGGTACATTAAAAAAAATAAATTAACACCTAATTTTGAAAAAAAAAAATTCTTACACCATTTATCATGAGATAGAGGAATTATTCTTTATACACCTTTTGATATTTTTTTCATTGTTTAAAAGTTTGTAAACGTTGTTAAATAAATATATTAACGGCATAAGAGTTTAGTTCAATTTATTCAACAACGCATTTGAAAACTTGTAATCTCTTATATTAAGTTCAATTTTACTAATAAAAAAAATATATACCAATCCATTGATTGATAATGGAGCTAGAATAAAATTTGCCAATGGAATTAATATGTTTCATGTATGGAATGGAATCTACCGAA